AACAAAATGTACCAGACGCTGCCTCCACCTCACTCCAGACTAAGCTTTGCTCAAGCCTAACAGGCAGACACCCAACTGAAGCAACCCGAAGACACTTCACACTCAGGAAACGCTATTCAAAGCGCTAGATGAGAATTGAGGGTTCAAACTTAACTAAATCAGCCCGTACCAATTCTTCATGAATATGCTTCCCCACCCAACATGGATGCCCTAACTTCCATCTGAAGCTATTTCAGTGTACCAAATGAAAACACCCTACTGTATCAGCGTGCCTGAACCTTATATGGCCATAGCAACAAGAATAGCTACGACTGGATTTAAAATGCACCCTACAGCTTCCTCAGTAACCAAATTTTAAACAAGAAAAGCAACAAAAACAAGCCCATGTCCTTCTCTGCAATCAGCGTGGTGCAGTCAAGCTGCAGTATTTAGTGAGAGAACATTAAGCAATGCTGGCTTCGGTTTTTCTTTTAAACTATAAAAAAATACATTAAAACACACGCTTACTCAACTGGGTAACTGTTTTTTACACCACTGTGCATTACTGCTAGCATAGCTTCTCCATAGTCACACTGACTTAAGCTCTTCTGCATTCATCAGCTTCTAGCCCCAGCACAGCCTTGTTATTAAGTGCCATTTCTTACCAGTCAGTGATAGTAAGTGATGACTGGAGAGTACTCAACACAGGTGATCAGCACTCTGACCACATCAAAAGCCTTCAACCTAACCAGTTACCTTCTTTCTAAATAAGATTTTAAGCCACTTGGAAAGGCAAAGGAAGCTAGACATATTACTTGCAAGCTTACAGTGTACACCTTTATTCAGTATGACAGTTTATTGTTGTATATTCCTATGTATACATGACAGGCATCACTATGCTTGAAGAGTGTCACAACTTCCAGCCTCAAGTCATTTTCTATCAGCAAAATGACACTGCTCCGTACCAAAGAGCAAGCATTACAAAGCTAAATGGGGAGACTTAGTAAATCCTCAGATAGTATTAGGAATTTAGAGTTAATCAAGTAGGAAGAATATGGCAGAAAATGAGAATGAACTTAAGAGTAATCATACCTCTTTTCCAAAAGCTTGAGCACAAGAAATTCCTTCCAATACAAATGTTCAACTTTATGCTTAAGGCTGATCAGTATGTTTCTAAATTCACTAAAGGCCTGCAGCTACTAATATGCCTTTAAAGTCAAATACAGACTTTATAGTCAAATATAGACAAATACGTGTAATGAAAGATGATATTACTTAGTCAAAGTTTTTCCTCCAGCACGTAAGGCAAAGCTGGAGATCACATTTCCTAAAATTAGTGGGCTGTAACCAGGCCAAGTGAATTTAAGGATTTAATTTTGTTCTTAACAAACAAAACTAAGCATTGAGGCAAGTTATTATCAGTATATCCATGAACTTTTCAGTGGTACAGGACACATACCGGCTGGCAAAATCCCAGCTCTGGTTTTCTAGTAAACCTATACATACTAATTTTCAATCACTTTCTGGTAAGCAGCTAAATACAACTTAATCAAATCTATTTCAGAATGAAGATTTGCAAGTAACAACAGTGTTAGTTTGCTCAAGCAATACTCAAGATTCCTCTGCATCAGTTTCTCTGTTCTTAAGACTAAAGTTCAGTTCCCACTTTCACCAAAGGATTATTCTCTTTAAGACATTTTCCTTCATATTAAATATTAAGATGTAACCCACCCATTCTTGCAGTCTGATTTTTACCTCATTACATTACAAACCAGTACTATTCCCAATACCTGCATACTGTTAGACTATTAGAAAGTCTATCTATTTCATAGTACCTGAAGTACTTTCCAAATACAGCTATTGATGCATCCTGATCTGTTTACAAGGAGCTTAAAACCTACTCAACACAATGCAGTATGTTTTCTGTTACCTAAATTGAGAAAAAGGTTTTGATAATCTGCCCTAAATATGATATTAGTCTATATATTTAAGAACTTTACTAACTTAATGGAGTCCCTATTACCTGGTAGCATCAAACCAAACTACTTGAAACAGTCTGAGAACGAAGTGTACGTATTTGAAGACTGCCTACATGAGATGTCGCGTGTATTCAGGATTTGGATTTAAGTGTTAACTAAAGAATCCAAAGTTAGATTAGTAAAATTATTTTTTCCAAGATGAATGAGCAGAATAAAATTGTATATAAAAAAGGATATATAAATATGGATATATACATAAAAAGAAAAGCCTCAAGAACAAACTAACTTTCAAACATCATCAGGAACAGTTAATAGCTGACAAAGCCAGGACAACAAACAGTTTTCCCAGCAAAATCATTCCGAAATTTAGAATTCTCATTTTGCATATAATATATTACCTTTAAGTTGCTTACACATGAGACATTTTTAACGGCAGTTCTTGGATTTAAGTCTGTACAAGAAATGATGTTCCAAACCAACAAACCTGTTAAATGATTCCATCTACATTAAAGTGGGAATTGTTCAAAGAAGTCACTACATTACATTATCACTTCCATAGCCTGCTTGCTCCCACCAACTGGAAACGTGCCTCAATCCACAAGGATCACAATCCTCCACACAAGCGATACTTAACTGAAAATACATTTTCCAGAACATATAAACATTTTATGGTTATATCTCTCAATACAACAATGACAATATAAAGCTAAACACCACCAATCTAAATTCCTATTTCTCAAAAAGGGGCTTTGATCAAATATCATATGGTGTTGATATAAAGCTTACTTTTCTGAGAACATCTTTCAGCTGCAGATGATCAGGAAGCAGTCTGCCAGAATACACCAGTCTCTGATCCTTTGTAGACTAGGAGATGGGACAAAGAAAGGGATTTAGCTTTTTCCTGCTGTACAGATATACAGCTGGAGACAACATTTGCAGATGAGAAAACCCTTTACAATTCCAACCACCACCAGACAGCCTTAAAAACATTTCAGAAGCTTCACAGGTCCAACTCACACATTAATCCTGAAAAAGAATTCTATTATGCACTCAACAAGAGTGCCAGAACAATTAAAAACCCTTAACTGGCAAACGCTGCTCAAGAAAACCATTAGGTAGATTCAATAATTCCTTTCTTTTAAGATGATTTGCTCTTTTCCCTGCTCCCATTCCCAGGTACTTCCTGAAAAAGGAGACCGAGAAGTGGCTGGGGCAAAAAAATAATGCAAAACCAACCCCAAAATAGTTAGAATGATGGCATGGTAATTAAAATAAGCAGAAGGGACACACATTTCAATCACTTTCAACAACGAATTTCTCTTACTAGTTCCTGCCCAACATTTTATCCCCCCCCCCCCCCCCCCGAAAACCAAAACAACCCCCGCCCAAAAAAAAAAAACACTCACAAGAGTAGCTGAACTACTGCTTTCTTCTTAATACAACAGCAGTTATTACTTCAAAGAAAGCACTACCGTAAGCAAGTGCTAAATGAAGATATTTAGGCTAACATCAGTGGAACAGACGGGCATTAACAGCATGAAATATCTGAAGAATGAAGACATGCAAACAGCTGGTCTTACATCCCACTTGCCCAGCACCCTGCTGCCCACTCTGCAGTCTTATTCATGCTAATACTAAGACACAAATACCTGAGATAAAGATCTCTCATTAAAAAAGCTTTCAGAGAAGTTTGACTGATTGTTTTTTTTTTTGCAATAGCCTTTTCCAGATTCCCAATAACTTGGCAGAACATAGAAAAGTTGGAGAATTTGTGGGGTTTTTTTCCCCCTGAATATAGCTACTCTAAAAGCAGATGAAAGTTCACATTAAGTCTGAGAAGCTTTTGCTTTAACTCCCCCCCCATTCATACTAGCCATTATTACACACATCTTTAAATTATTAGTCCATAACCTGCCATATATAGTATAGAATTGTTTACCACTTCTATTGAAGAGTCATTTTTTATGTTCTTCTGCATTTTCCTGTATTTTTAATTGGTGAAACAATACACTATTTTTGTAAGGCTCACTACACAGAATTAGTTTGCTGCAGCTCCAATGAATAAAACACTGCAATAAATTCAACATCAACACTGTGCTATTTCTATTCACGTTTAAAACAGCAGCAAAAATGCCTGCCTCACGACAGACTACGTTCAAATGAATGAAACACTTTGGTTGTTACTTTCAAGAGGGAACAGGCTGCTAGCAAAATACAAGCTTACTTGCATTTTATGTTTGGGAAAGGCCTTCTTAGAAAAAATAAGAATTTGCAGCATGAATCAACATTACTGGAAACTTTGATTTCTTATAAGTAAGAAACTTGTTGCTTTAGAATCAGCAGTGGAACCAGAAGAAAAGTGTCAGAAACCTTGTCTCTGGGTCCTGAGATAGATTATCTGGAGATTAATTAGAATGGAGAAGCAGTTAAAACAGCAAAACACAACAACAACAAACCACCCCCAAACTCCAAACCTTTGTATCATCATCCAACATGGCGATGGAGCACTCATAATACAGTTTTTCAAATTCAGATTTTTCTCTTCAGTACCTCACGTATGTACCTCTCCTCAACTCCATCTCATTTACTACTCCTCAAATGAGTAGTACAATTCATATTTTTCATACAAATACTTCACAGAAAAGAAACTTCTGGAGTAAAACAACCCCTCAAAGCTATTACATAGGCTTCGGTAGTGCCTTTCACCTCCCTACAAAACCACAAAAGAAAAGGTTAAACCTATGTTGAGTACTGTTAATCATATTAAGCTAGGGACATTAATGGGGACCATGAGGCCTTAAACCACGTACTCCTCCCTACATAATTTAAACACCTAATGGGGCACTACTATAATCACTTTCAATTCTCAGGGTGAAAGCCATCTTGGAATTCTGAGATGAGGGGCAGGGATTTAAATGCAGATGAAAGAAGAAGTGACAAATGTGAAAACACACAGTATACATTTATGCCAAAGAAAATAGAAAAGGCATTCAAGTGATCCTCTGCCAGAGGAGGTTCACTATCAAACTTCCTGCTTTAAGGAACAGCATGCTCACTGTTAGCCCAAACACTTAACTGTGATGGAAAAACACTTTAGAACATATATAAAGAATCAGAGTGCCCCCATTTTCACAAGCAAGCAGGTAGCATCAGATAAAATGCATCTAGAACCTAAAGTTTACAGTGAGATGGAAGACAGTTTCCAGACCGTAATTCAAAAGGTATGAGTTTAAAACCAAGAATTCAACAGCTAGTGGTTTGGGTTTTTTCTTCCATTTTTCAAGCAAGACTCCTGCTGCAATGCTTACTGAGTCCAAATTAGCTACACACAGCACATTACCAAAACCACCAAACGTGAGCTAATGCAGCAACTCCCTTTAGAAACACAGATAATCTCTGAGCTATCCTGTTTCAGCTACAAGATATTCGTTATTTTGGTCACTCAGCCTCTCTCCCATAGGAAATAAGAATCCAAACCACCACATCTGGTTAGAAATGTGAGCAAAGCATATGCTAGATGACAGGTACTAGAGGAGATGAGAATTTAAAGTTCATGTGTCTGGGTGTAATCAATGGAGTGGTTAATGCACTTACTGCAAGAGCTGCCAGAGTGACACACAGAGGTTGATTTCCCAATTTTTCTTAAATAAACATTTCATTTAGGGACACTGTAACTGCAGTACTTCAGCTATGAAAAATTGGTCCAGTCAGGGAAAAAAAGATATTGAGGAACGTGGATCTTAGTATAGACCCACAAACTAATTTGATTTTATTTTAAACCCCACTTATCTCCTTCAATGACTTGCCAAAGTAAGTATACCAACTTAGTAACTTTAGTAACACCTAAATCAAGTTAAATCTGCCTATGAAATCTGCATATGTTTAGCCACATGATTTACACAAATTAATCTGGAAAAACAACAAACACCACTGCCTCAGGCCCTAACTTCTTGTTTGCACGTTTTAACCATCACGTTTTCTGAAAATACATTCTTAATAAATTGTAAATTTAATGACAACGTTTAAAGTTACCATCAGTCTGCTGACTGTTTTACAGATGCTTGTAGAATAAGGTAAAAGTCACATGTAAAAACTTGAAAGACTATGTATATAGCAGGGATAGCAACTGATTTCTATTTCACACCCAGAACACTGCAATACCTGAGAGAACATCAGTGTTCTGATGCACTCTTAAAATAGCACTGTAACAGAAGTTGTTTTCAGGACCTAGCATAATCAAGGAATGTAGAAATTTGATGGACAAGCTTTTGGCATTGATCCAGTTTAAAGAAAAATAAAGGGGGGGGGGGGTGGGGCAGAGCTGCTCCTAAGAGCACAAAGATTTAAACAAATCTGGAAAAAGCAGTAGCAGGCAACATCAAATCCACTTTCTGATTTTTCTATACATAGGTGCTTAATAGGATGTTTCATTTCTCCTCCCCATGTTCTTACTTTAATTCAAAGGTTCTATAAAATAAAAATACTACATTTATTTACTAGTTTAAATGCAAATACAGTAAATCCAGATTAAACTGGAACCATTGAGATAATTTTCACAAAGAAACTCTTCATTCTTTAACCCAGAACAATTTTGGGGGATTCTGAACTAGTGATGTAATGAGAGGCATGTTGAGGAATTAATTTTCAACAGAAGAAAGATGTTCCAGGAAATTGAAATTCAATATTCTAGTACTGGTTCAGACCTACACAGCGACATAAAAACCTCGTGTTCATTAAGGATTCTTCACAAGAAGCCCAATTTAACAAGATCATCGGGTGAGTCAGAAAACTAGTGCCTAAACACATCACAGGAGGAGACTCCAGTGACGGAAGCAGCAGCAATCAGATGAAGTCGTGGATTTGTTTCTGTCACTGCAGATAGGCTCTCTCAGCAGAGCATTACTCACAGCAATAACTAAATCCACAAACTCTCAAATACTGCTTAACAGAGCTCAAGGTACCCAAGACACAGCCTAAGTTGTTGACTGCTTGCCTTCTTTCTCCAAAAGGCAGAAACCTGCCTCAAGACACAAAGCTACTATTTTACCTTCAATCAACAATGCCAATAATTATTCTATTAAATTAGGCACATACTAATCATTTACAATATAAACACAACCTTTGACTGATGCTTTCCACAGCAAGGTCTAGGCCTCACATGCTGCTGTTGCTGCAGTGTAGAAGCAGTCATTCCCTTTATATAGTTTTCTGGAACAAATTTTCAAGTATACTGCTCTGTATGACTAACAGCTACAGTATCATCTTTCGATTATTACCTGCATGGCTTTTCCCAGCCTCTTGTCAACTGACAAGTTTAGAAACTTAAAAGAGTTGACAAATAAACATTATTTTCCTCAGGAAACATAACAAAAGAAAACCCCACAACAGGTCTTGATATTAAGGTTCAAAGTATAATCACGACCGTCAGTCATAGAATATCTGAGAGCAAAGTGTTCAGAAAACCCCACTGTTCTTTAAAGGGGGGAAAAAAGGGGAAGTAATTCTGGAGGCTCAACTCCGTATTTCAAATACTATGAACAAACACCTACCTGCTCCACACCTCAGTGAATTCACTAGATCCTGATCACTTTAGCTGCGTTGATTACACTGTAATCACTTTAAACAGAACTTTTCCATTTAGAGACTAATCCGAAGTTAACTGAGATACCACAATTCCAGTTCCCAAAAAAGATGAAGTGTCTTTAGCGATGCCATCTTTGGGGATGCTACACTGTGATCTTCTTAAACCACAGGAAAGAGCAACTATTTCGCACTGCCAGCTTCCCCGAGAGCTGAGTGCCAGGCATCACCCGTACGCAAGCAGCTCTCCGGCACTAGGACTGTTTATCTTGCAGGGTACCTAAGGAAAGTCTTGACCAACTGCCCACAGGTTACCACAACGCCAGTCTTACCGACACGACGAAGAAAAAGGGCTGGCCACCAACTCACCGGCTTACTGGGGTACACTTTGGAGAGGTGAGACTTTAGCTTGCCCACAGTCCAGTCCAGAAAGCAGTTGATGGTCTGATCGGTGTATTTCTGGTTGGGGGCCTTGATGATGAGGGTCACCGGGCGATCCACGACGCTTTGGTCCATGCTGGGAAGAATCGGGCACACGAACCCGCTCAACCTTTGGGCACCCCGGGTAGTGGGGGGGCGGGGGTTCAGCGGCCGGGGGCGAACTTCCCGGGGAGGCTGCGGGCGCCCATCCCCGTCCTCGCGCTCACACGGCGGCGGCACCGGCCGCGCTCTGCCGTCAAGCAGAGAGAGAAGCGGCTTAGCACCTCCCGCAGCAACCCCCGGGTAACCGCGGCGACAACGAACGCGCCCTCACCCCCTGCCGCCGCCACCCCCAACCCCGAGGGCCGGCCGGGCCCGCCCGCACCCACAGGTATGAAAAGGAGAGTGGGTGAGCCCCGGTACCGGAACGCGCCGGGCCGGACCCCTCCACCAGCGACACCACCACGACCCCCGGCCGCTGTCGCCTGCGTAAAATGGAGACCGGAAGCTGGGCCGCGTCCTGCCGCTCTCCGCGTGCGTTGCCCTTCCTGCGGCTGCGTTGGTGGGGCAGGGCTTCGGGCGGTTTGAGGTGGTGCTTGGCACCGGGGTGGTGTGAGGGGAAAAGCGTGCTGGAGGGGGTGCGGGTCCTCGGTCTTACCAAGGTCCAGAGGCGGGGCCTGTGGGGTGTCTGACCGCCAGCTTCTTGTGTCAGACGTGCTGGTTCCCACAGCAGTTTCAACACTGAGGAGGTTAAATACATCTGTTTCGCCCTCAACACCATCATGTGGGAACAGCTCAGTGAATTTATCCTCAATATTCTAATCAGGTCAGGAAATCGTAGAATCCCAGACTGGTTTGGTTGAAGGGACCTTAAAGCTCCTCCAGCTCCAACCCCTGCCACGGGCAGGGACCCCTTCCACTGGAGCAGCTTGCTCCAAGCCCCTGTGTCCAACCTGGCCTTGAACACTGCCAGGGATGGGGCAGCCACAGCTTCTCTGGGCACCCTGTGCCAGCGCCTCAACACCCTCACAGGGAAGATTACTGTAGTAAATAGTGTAAAGAAATATTGTTTTATAAACAGAATGGAGGCAAAGGGAGGGATTTGCCTTATGCAGCACAGAAACTTGTCTAAACCCATAAAACAAGTTTCTGAAGTCTCAGGTTAGCATTGTAAACTTCCAGTCATCTTACATGATTTTCAGTTGCTGAGAAGAAAATCCTTTAAGAGGTAACTTTCAAGGTTGATGGACAAAATAACACGGAACAAGGGGAATGTTAGGTTCAGAATACTTCTAAAGATCTCTGCAGTAAAATTTGGCCTCATTAACGCGATGAAAGCAATAAGCTGCTTATAAAACTACTTTAAAGCATCTCTTGTATCAGGAGAGAGCACTTGCTTTCCATTTCCTTCAGTCTTCAAATGCTGTTTGTAAGCACAGAAGGCAGGTTTGGTTTGTCAAGTTGATAGTGTCCCTTTAATGCCAAAGAATCAGACCCTTCATTAGGCTCCATGCTATGAGCAAAGAGGCACAGAAGAGTTTGCTAATAAAGAGAGGACTGTAAGGAGCTCCAGCTTTTGAACAGAAAGATAAAAAGAGCCTGAAGGAATATCATTAGCACCCAGGACCTAATTCTTCCTCTCAAATAAAACCTGGATACAGACAACAGCTAACGTGAGAATTCACAGAGAAAATAGTCTTAATTTTTGTGTTCATCGACTTATGCTCATTTTTGCCCATAACCACTCATTCACAAACCTCATGCTTGAGGTGGATCATGCGAGCTCTCTGCTGCTACAGTGCCCATTGTCCTTGAGGAGACTTATCAAATAGTAAATACGGAAAATTGGCACTTGACAACACCTTCAAATGTAATATTTGACATACTCCTACCGGTTTCCCGGTGCCCTCCCTGGTTATACAAGAATGCTTATTTGCACTTGAAATTCTGTCCATGCTGTCGCTACCAGGGCATGTAACTTGGAATCCCCAGGGGTTTCCAAGAGTGGAATACAATTTCCAAGCACTAGGTGAATACTTGTGCCCAGGGTAGTGCAACAAAAGGGGTCAGTTAGATGAGCACTTGTCAAGGATTAATGCAGAAGTTTTTAACTTTTCTTTAGGGTGGTTGCAGTGGTGGTGTTTGACAGTCTTGGTGGTCCACATACATGCAGTATTTCTATAACATGCCCATTAGCTACTAAGCAGGACTCCAGACCTGGGATGACCAAGAAATTTCCCAAGTCGTACCTGGGAACAGGAAGATGTCTCATGTGGTGTCATTTTTGAAGCTGCATGTTGTGCCACCTCTGTGAGCACATCCCTGGACTGTGCACAATCCCCTGGGGGTCAGAATCACACCGTCAGTAATTGCATTTTAGAACTAAAAACCTGGTAAAAGCAGTTTGACATGAATTTAGGTTCCAGGAAACGTTTTATGAATATCCATTGTGAAGTATCACAATGTATTGCACCAACAGGCCGTTTGGTATTTTAACATGCAAGAAATTATGTCATTATTCTTAATACTTATCCAGCTTGACATACCTTCACAAATCCACAGGAATCTTTTTGCATGCTTGTATTGTGTGTGACACCCCTTTAGTGCAGACGAAAAATTATGGCAAATCACTTTTAAGAATGCCAAAACCATATTAATTTTTTACAAATAAAGGAATTCATGCATTAAAATGCTATGAAAGATCTTCTGACTCTTGAAGTGTCTAAAATAGGCACATGATTTGAGAATTGAGGCTTCTTATTCAGCCATTAGACTATCCAACGGAAAATAGAGAGCATATAAGATCCTACAACTCTAGGTTCTTAACTGAGCTTGGCACAGAAGATAGGTTGTATTATTAATCTACCCTGATACCCATTTATCAAGTTGGAATAGAGCAAAATCTCCATTTATTGCCAGTAAAATATTTTCAAGTGGAATCATAGCAGTTACAAAGCTGGGTTGCAACTAATGCATCCAGGCTCTTTTGCTATTTATTCTAAGAGTTGAGGTCATGTGAAATTACTGACCTGTATGTGGGATGACAACCATAAAGAACTTGAGAATCTATATGCTCAGACACATCAGTTTTCTCCAAGACTTTAACAAACTCTGCCTTACTATGAAATGATGACAAGGATTCCCATATTCCTTCTTCAGAACAAACAGCTTTGAGAAAATCCTCATTGCAGCCACTGCCAGGATTTTCTCTTCTAAATCACAGAATTTACATTTCATTTAATGATCTGGAAAACTTGTTGTACAAGGAGGAAGGAGTGGGTTTGTGCTCCCTTCGGTTGTATACATGAAGCCAGAGAGGTTTATTTCTTAAGGAAACTAAGGGAAAGGTCATGTTCACATGGGTTTTCTCGCTCTGGAAGTGTATATCACCTCTTCAGCACTAGAAATACTGCTGATTCTCAACAATTCATAATTGATTTCCATGAGGAAAAAACTCTGGAAGTCTTCTTGTTGCCATATAAGCAACACTGATGAATGGGTTTGGCTACAGGTCTTTCAACAAGAGGTAGACTATTTGTCAGTCATGATATTTGTGTAAGCAAACAAGCAGAAATGTGTATATATTTAAATATCATAATGGACATCTCAGTTGTTTGTCAGGACTAACTGTTGTTTTGTTGCTGATGTTTTCTATAGGTACCAGTTGATCCTCCCTGTAACCTTTGAGCCCAGTGACCAACTTCCATCAAACTTGACAAGAGACAGCAATCTCAGCTATTACAACACTGAAGGTTTCAAGATCTAAGGGGCTATCGAGAGAGACCTTACAAGCGTATCTGCTGACAAGAAAGCTAATAAGCTTTCTCCTTTGTAGCCATAAGGGAATTCAAATGGAGCAGGCTGAGAGGGAAATACAGAACACCCAGTTTCACTTGCAAATTGCCTGTAGTGACAGTTGAAGGACCCACTAGTCTGCAGTGGGTGGCTGGTGGATGAAGTGCAACAGGGATGTGGTTTTCTTATGAATTCAGGCAGGCTCTGCAGTTTCAGCTGTTGACTTCTGGAATAAAGTCTTGCAAGACCAATATTTTGTTTCCAACAGGGGCGTGAAGATGGTTTTACGGACAAATGCTGAAAACACTTATAACTGGATGTTATAAGTGTTTTCTTATACATATTAGCACTTACAACTGCAATGTTACTAGCAGTGGTCATCGAGGTGTGACACTTGTCTAAGGAACAACTTCTTGAAATGGGTAAATGAAAGTGTGATTCATCTGCAGCTATTTTTGCCCTGATGATAGCTTCAAGACTGAAGAGGAGTAGCAGCTACCTATACATTTTCTCTCTTCTATGTGAGGTGCTTCAAAAGAGACATAACAGGTGAGAGAATGTCTTGGTATCTTACTGTTTCAAGGAAAATCAATCAGTGAATATGCTGGTTAAAGAGCTGGAGGGATAGAAAACTTTGAGATGAGCAGTGGCTTTCTGAGATAGGACTTGAATGGACCCTTCTTTATCCTGTAAAACTGCAGTCTGAAGGAGCTAGACTGCAATGTTACACAGTCTCAGGTCAGACCTCTGATCTGATCTCAAACATGGACTCTGGTTGCATAGAATGGCTTTTTGCTTACAGATTCAGCACAGAGTTTTATTTGGAATTCTTTTTTGTGTGTTTGCTCTGAATTCTCCCTAAGCACAGGTTCAAATCAGACCTATTTTTTCAATATTTTCTCATCCATTTTAAACATAACTAGAATTATCCAAAATGTTAAAATGTCTATAAATGGTTTTGTTGTGGAGTGCTAAAGAAGCATAATTTCAAATACTGAATTTAAAACAAATTGCTAAAATGGCCATGGGAAATCTAGCAAAATCAGGTACCACAGAATCATAGAATGGATAGGGTTGGAAAGGACCTTAAGCTCATCTAGTTCCAGCCCCCTGCCATGGGCAGGGACGCCTCACACTAGAGCTCAGTCCAACCTGGCCTTGAACACTGCCAAGGATGGAGCATTTACCATCATTATTATTTTTTTTATAAGAGCACCTGTCTTTATTTCCATTTAGCAAGTGGAAGTATTTCCATTTAGCAAAGTCTCTGTCTTTTTAATTGTCATTCAAAGACACTTTCATGAAAAATTGGAGAGAAATCAGCATTGTTACAAAGGAAGATCTCATTTCCAGGGCAGTGAATTAAAGAAAATCTACTAATATAGTTGACTTTTAAGTTTCAAAAAGCCTTTGACCTTACTGCCCACAAGTGACTACTGAGGAGGTCTATGCCTTGATCCAGCTTCTGCTTTCATCTGTAGCATTCTTTATTCATGTGATGTCCCATTGACTTTAAGGGACCTTAACGGAAAAGTCCACAGGGAAAAAGTCACAGTTCCGACACTGATAGGATATTATATGATAAAGTGATACTGAGACCTCAAATAGTATTCCTCACACTAAATGTTTCCTTGTTTTCTTGCTTGACTTCCTTTTGAGATTATAAGATCTTTGGAGTACAGACCATTCTCCACAGTGCCTAGCTGGAGACTGAGAAATTAGCCCCTTGTGCTTTACAGACATGCATGACAGGAGGTAGGTGCTTAACTGATACACAATCAGGGCTTATTTGTGCATTACAGCCTGGGACAGACAGCACTGTTCCACAGTTCTGGGCCCTGTTGCCATATAAATAAGTCCTAAAGGTTCCCTCATAACTTGAGAATAAAGCAAGAATTAATTAAATGAGGAGGAAAAAGTCAAAACCAGTGCTCTTTTTGCAATAGCATATAATTAGTCCACGGAACTTGCTACTGCCAAGCCAGAGTG